AAATGCTAATATCTTATTTTGGTATCTTGATACTCTTTGGTCTCACGTGGCTGTTTGCTGTCTTCACGTACATTACTGAGCCTAACATCTCATTCGTCATTCAGTGCTTCTTTGCTTTCTTCAATACATTTCAAGGTTTCTTCATTTTTTTCTTTTTTGTTGTTCTAAGCAGTGACTCGAGAAATGCTTGGAAATCAATTCTCTGTCCTTGGACAGTGAGGGATGGAACGGCATCCACAGTTGTTAAAAATAAAACTTCAAATATTCAATTCAAGTCACCACAACTCAAAAATGCACCAGAGAGTCTGATTCCAATTAATGGGAAAGGAAATAGTGGAAAAGATTTTGCTGAAAATTTAATATTTGAAAACAAGACAATACTTGAAGATAGTGGTTTTTCTATTGATGATGAATTCATGATTTCTGAATTTGGTAGTATTCGTTTTGAACGTCATCTTTCTGCACGACGTAAACACTATGTGGAAAAAATTGAGATAGACTTTACAGATGGCGATGATGGCGATGGAGATATTTGAGTTATATATTTGTTTGTTTTTCATTCTCTATTCTTATTATTTTTATTAGAAAATGCTACTAATGTGAAATGCCTCAAGTTTATTGCTTTTATCTTTCTATACTTTTATAAATAGATTGATTATACCTTTACTGTCTTTACTATTATCATCATCATAATTATTTATTCATAGTTTCAATTGAGATAATTATTGTTAAGTGTTTGATTTCCTAATTTTATAGTGATATGATATTTGAGTAGTTGATGATATTATAAATTCATTCGATTGGGTGATAGTAATGATGAAAGAAGCAGTGCTAGTCTTTGTTTTATGTATTCTGTGACTATCAGATGCTCTCTTACCAACAATAGCTGAGATTGAAGGATCAGTTCAATATGTCTGTCAAACTCAAGGGAACATGATTAATACTTTAAGTTATCTTGAGTCTCATTCATCGCAATTTTTACAAACATTCATCTCCTGAGACCCTTAAGCCCACCATCCACTATTCAACTTTGTTAAAAGCAACTTTGTAGTTACTTTGATGTGCTGTGAACACTGTTGCCTGAAATAGAACTGACTTCTATTTCAGGCAACAGAGTTGCCCTAAGATCAAAGTAACCACAAAGTTGCTTTCAACAAAGTTGAATAGTGGATGGTGGGCTTTATCCACCTAACCACCTTTATGCAAGTTACTCTCATTCATCCTATGCTCTAGTATGCCCCCCCAATTTATGACCCCCATTGTCATCTTGGCTTGAGGCTGTTCAGCATTTTGGCCTAAAACTGGCTCTTAAATCCTGGAAGGTCTCATATCAATAACTGCTTTCACAGTCTCACATTAACTCCTTATCACATTGCTGGTTCAAATTTAAAATAATTCTTCTATTTAAAGTCAAGGAAGGCCTCTATTTCACTGCTATGTCAAAAGGAAGTCTGTTCTCTTGTTTGCAGAAAGAGAAATCTCACCTTATAGTGGGAGAAACCAGTGAAGAAAGCACAGTGCTAAATGTTAGAAAACAGTTGCTCTCTGTGTCTCTTTAAGTCGCTAATGGAATGAATTACTTAGCTTCACAAAGGTTTTTTCATTGTGATCTTGCTACTTGAAATTGCTTGTAAGTATAACAGCCAATAGAAATGTGTTTACTATAGTGGTGACTAACTTTAATTATCATAGGATTGCTGATAAAAGTGCATGGTGTCATCAAAGTTACTGATTTTGGTCTATGGGAAGAAATTTACACAAAAAATTACTTAAAGCAATTTAAAGAGTCAAAGTCTGCTAAACTCCCAGTCAAACGGGTGGTACTTAAAAGTCTTCACTATGGGATATTCTCTAAAAAATCAGACGTGGTCATTTTTAAATGATATTATTAGATCTAGAATGGTTCAATTCTCACACACACAGTGGTCTTATGGTACTTTATGTTGGGAAGCCTTTAGTGCTGGGAAAATACCATACCCTGGTATGGATCCAATAGCATTAGTGGAACTATTGGATGGTGGGCAAAGGTTAAGCTGTCCTCATAACAAAGCCTGCTCAGAAGACATGTATGCATAGTAATAATAATTAGCTGTATGATGATACATTGTTTGTTATATATAGTTATTCCTTGATGCAGCAGTGTTGGTGTGAGTCTCCTGATGACAGGCCATTGTTCAGTGATTTGGTTGCATCAGTCAATGCTCTCACAATGCCAGTGGCTCCATATCTCATTGTCTCCAATGACTCAACCTTCCAACTGAATCATGATCACATATATTATTGAATACACTGCTTATGCCTTTGGGACACTACCCCATTTGCTTTATACTAGCCTTTTTAGTTTTTAGACTCATGCTCTAGCTAGATTTATAGTCTATAGTGTGTTTGTGAAATTATTATCAAAAAAATACTTTATTATTATTTAAGCTGGCATAATGTGAGCAATTGCTGTGAGTGTACAATATACCGTAGTTGCAAAATTGTTGTTATTCAGTGCAGTTGATGATGTCATAAATTTGTTTAGTCATTAGGAAAGTAGTTTGATAGCAATGATGAGAGAAGCGGTGCTAGTCTTTGTTTTATGTGTTCTGTCACTATCAGTTGCTCAGGATTGTCCTCTACCAACAATAGCTGAGATAGAGGCTGCATTAAATACATTACTGCTCAATTCTGGTTTGGCGGTGACTGGCTGAGTAGTTTAAAAATTGAGTAGGATTCACTTTGTGCTATTTTGTCAAAAAAGTAATGGAAACAAATTGACAAGTAGGATTCTGAAGTCTGAACCACCAGCAAAAATTCAAAATAAAAATCCTACTCTTGTGACATAAATTCTACTCTACAATGCAAGGTAATCTGTGATACCATACATAATACGTTGAAAGTGCAATGTAGAGTAGAATTTGCATCAGGAGAATAGGATTTTTATTTGCATTTTTGCTGGTGGTTCAGAATCCTACTTGTCAACTTGTTTCCATTACTTTTTTGGCAAAGTAGCACAGAGTGAACCCTACTCAATCTTTTTTGAAAAAGGTAGAGGGACCTTGACCAAATTTTGGAGTAACTTTGACAATTCATAAAAAAATCTAATCTTGATCGGAATCAGCTCAAATTTAATATACAACATAAGGACATGTATATCTATCAGAAAAAATTATAAAAATGGAGATTTCTCTCCTAGTCACTTTTCACAAAATTTGGCCAAATACAGGGGCTTTGGCCAAATTTTTTAGCAACTTTAAAAATTCTTTTAAAATTCAAAATTGATCAGAATCAGCTCAAACTTTTTATACAATATAAGTACATGTGTGTGCATCAGAAAAAAGTTATAAAAATGAAAATTCTCTCCTTGTCATTTTTGATGGAATAATTATTATGGTATCATCAAAATGGGAACCGTCAAGTTTATTGGTGACACTGAATCTGCTCCTGGCAAGTGGATAAGTTGTGGCTTTAGACCACCCACAAGGTAAGAGAAATTTACAAAACTATAATTTTATTATTAATCTCCCCCAAAAGGTAAAAACAATGGCAGCGTCAAAGGTATAACATTTTTGAAGTGTAAGAATAAACATGGCATGCTTGTATGGAGGGACAAGATAATCCACGAGCCCTCATCCACCCTCTCTGCCTCTCCTTCCACTCATTCAAGAGTGAGCAATCAAAATTAAATGATTGACTTTTTTTATCTTTGTCCATTGTCTATTTGCATCATAATTTTTTATCATGATTATTATTGTTGTTCTTGTTTTGTTGTTTTGTTGCTCATTGACTCTCTGTATCATGTGACAGTCATGTGACTTGCTCCTGTGGTCATGTGACTGCATGTAGTGGCTGTTTTTTATTGCAAATTATTTAGATTTTTCAATTGAGAAAACAAGTGATAATTACTCCAGTTATCATTGTGTTTTATTATTAATAATATTGAGAAAATTAAATTCTTTAACTCAATTATCATTATTATTATTATTATTATTATTATTATTATTATTAATTGCACATAGCACTTGAATTTATTGATCTACATGAAAACCAGCCTATAACCAAATAAAAAATATACTAATGCTAGTATTCCCTGCAATGTGTTTCTGGTGATCACTTAGCAGTTGATGATGTCATAAATTCCTTTAGTCATCAGGAAAATAGTTGAATAGCAATGATGAGAGAAGCAGTGCTAGTTTTTGTTTTATGTGCTCTGTCACTACCAATTGCTCAGGATTGTCCTCTACCAACCATAGCTCAGTTAGAGGCTGCATTGCCTCCTTTACTAGTCATTTCTGATGGTGGCCAGTCATACTCTCCTAATGTAACTGAAGGATCAGTTCGATATGTCTGTCTAGCTCAAGGGAGCATGATTGCTACTTATGAAGCCATAGCTCTTATAGCTACATTCACTCCTAATCCAGGAGAACCTGAACAAACTAGGATATTTGATATTGAGTGTAGCAGTGGTACATGGAGTGGAAGGACTGGTAGTTTAGATCCTTCTCCTGCCAGTGTTGTTGGTGTTCCTCCAAGAACTGATTGTTATCGATGTCGGGAAGGTTTTGGTGGTGATACTAGATGTAGAGGTAAGCCAATTAGAAACTAAAAAATAATAATGTTATCTTATGTAGCATGTGACAGTGCTTGTAATTCTGGACTGATGAGGTGTACTGGATCAGGTTCTGGTGATTGTTGTTTATCATTTGCTGCAAATAGTCAGTGTGATGGTA